TTCTCCTATCTTCCAAATGATTCTTTGCAAATCTTCGGAAAATTAGAGGAACATAATTTCCCCCTTCTCTTACAAATGTTCCTTTAAAAAGATTCGGAATATTAGAGGAAAATAATTTTCTTCCATGCAAAAATTATTCTCATTTCCATCCTGATTATTAAAGGAACATAATTTTCTCCTCAGTTCCACATGATCCTTTCCAAAGAGCCGAAAGTTTGGAAGAATATAATTCACTCTTCCTAATGATCCTTTGCAGCGTTTCGGAAGTTTGGAGACACATAATTTTCTCTTCAGTTCCAAATGATGCTTTGCAAAGATGTGGAAGTTTGGAAGATCGTAATTTTCTCCTCTTTCTCAAGTGATCCTTGCAAATATTTTGAAGAATAGAGGAACATAATTTTCTTCTCTCTTCCACATGCGTCTTTTCAAAATTCGGATGATTGGAGGAACATAATCTTCTCCTCTCATCAAAGTGATGCTTTGCAAATATTCAAAAGTTTAGAGGAATATAATTTTGTCTTCTCTTTTATATTATCCTTTGCAAAGAATCGGAAAATTTCGCAACCTTGGAGGAACATGTTTTCCCCCTTTCCTCCTAGAGTTCCTTTGAGATTTGGAAGATTCGAAGAATATAATATTCTGTTCCCTTCCAAATATTACTTAGTAAAATTTCGGAACATTGGAGGAACATATTTTTCTTCTTTCCACCAAGAGTTCCTTTGAAAAGTTTCGGAACATAATTTTCTTTTATCTTTTAAAGAGTCATTTTTCAAAGACTTGGAGTTTTGAAGGAGCAACATTTTCTCATATCTTCCAAACGGTCCTTTGCAAAGATTCAGAAGATTGAAGGAACATAATTTTCGCATCTCTTCCAAATGATACTTTGTGAAATTTCGGAACATTGGAGGAACATGTTTTTCTCCTTTCTTCAAAGAGTTCCTTTGAAAAGATTCAGAAGATTATAGGAACATAATTACGTCCTGCATTTCGAAAGATTAGAGACATAAAATTTTCTCTTAAATTCCAAATGAACCTTTCCACAGATTCAGAAAATTGGAGGAACAGAATTTTCTCCTCATTTCTACATGATTTTTTTCAATGATTCGGAAGATTGGGGGAACATAATCTTCTCCTATATTCCAAGTGATGTTTTGCCAGGATTCGGAAGATTGAAGGAAAATAATTTTATTCTATCTTCTCAGTGATCCTTTTCAGTAATTCAGAAGATTGAAGGAAAATAATTTTATTCTATCTTCTAAGTGATCCTTTTCAGTAATTCAGAAGATTGAAGGAAAATAATTTTATCCTATATTCCAAGTGATGTTTTGCCAGGATTCGGAAGATTGAAGGAAAATAATTTTATTCTATCTTCTAATTGATCCTTTTTCAATAATTCGGAAGATTGGAAGAAACATTATTTTCTCCTATCATCCAAGTGATCTTTTGCCAGGATTCGGAACATTGATGAAACATAACTTTCTTCTCTCTTCCAGATGTTCCTTCTCGAATAATTCGGAAGTTTGAAAGAACATACTATTCTGTTCTCTTTCAAACTATCCTTAGCAAAGCTTCGGAAGATTTGTTGGTTCATAATTTTCCAAGTGATCCTTTGAAAAGATTCGGAAGTTTCTAGGAACTGAAATTTTCTCCTCTTTTTAAAGTGTTCTTTTCCAATAATTCGGAAAATTGGAGGCACATAATTTTCTCCTATCTTCCAAATTATCTTTTGCAAATATTTGGATGAATGGAGTAACATATTTTTTCCTCTGTTCTAAATGATCCTTTGCAAAGATATATTGGAGTAATATAAATTTCTCACTTCAAAATTGTACTTATCAAATTTTCAGAAGATTGGCGGAAAAGAATGTTCCCCCCTATTTCAAATGATCCTTTGCAAAGATTCAAATGATTAGCAGTACATAGTTTTCTCCTCACTTTCAAACAACCCTTTGAAAATATTCGGAAGATTCATGGAACAAAATCTCTTCCATGTAGTACTTTGCAAAGTTTCGCAAGACTGGAAAAAATAATTTTCTGTGATCTTCTAAATTCTTCTTTGTAAGAATTGATAGTTTGGGGAAACACAATTTCGTTTTCTTCGTCAAGTTCTTCTAATGGCAGATTCAGAAACTCTATTTTCCTTTCCATTCAACTGGCCAAATTCTGTGCCAAATTCACAATTTTGGAAAAACATCGTTTTCTTTTTCCTCCATGTAACGCTTTTCGAAAACCGTCAAAGCACAATTTTTTTTCTTCCAATTGGCCCTGTGGTAAATTTAGAAGACTGGCGCTATACATTATTTTTTTTCCTCCCTAAGGTGGTCCAGAAGTATATTCGGAAATGTAAGGAAAGAGATTTTTTTCTTCAGACCGCACGGGATCCAGCTGTAGTTTTCATATATTGCGTTAACACAATTTTATTTTATTCCCAAAATGGCCATTTGCCAAATTCGGGACTTGAAAGAAGCATAATTTTATTTTCTCTCCCAAGAGCTCTGGGCCAGATTAAGAACAGTAGCGAAACATATGTTCCTTCTCTTTCACTGTCCCTGTGCCAGTCTTGAAATATTCTAAAAAATACAATTTATTTCTCTCACCGACATAGATTAATTCCAAATTTGTGACATTGCCAGATTTGGAAGTTTGTCGGATTTGTAAGATTGTTAGATTAGTGACGTTGCCGGATTTGTGACATTATCGAATTTGGGACATTGCCGGATTTGGGACATTGCCGAAACGCAATTTTCTTACTCTTACACGTAGTCCTGTGTCATTTTCGAAAGATATGCGTAATATCAATTTTTTTTCTTCTCTAAGTGGCCTTGCTCCAAATTCGGAAACTTGCCGGAACACAATCTTCTCTTCTCTCAACATGTGTCCCTTTGCCATATTTGGGCGATCGATAAAACATGATTTTCCTTACTTTCCAACATGGCCTCCTGCCAGAATCGAAACATTGCCGAAGCATCATTTTCTTCCATCGCCATCTAGCTCAATGCTAGAATCTGAATATTGCCGAACACACAATTTTCTTTCCTCCTCCTCCTACGTGGCTCTTTGCCAAATTCCAATGTTTACTGAAACATATTTTTTTCTTCTTCCAAGTTGCCCTGTGCCAGATTCGGTACAGAATAATTTTTCTCACCCTCACAACGTGACCCTGTTAGCCTCTCTGCATAAACATAAACTCTCTCTCTCACTCGCTTTCACTCTCTCTCTCTTTCACTCTATCTGTTTCTCTCACTCCCTGTTAGTCTCTTTCTGTCTCTCTGTTTCTCTGTCTCTCTCTCACTCTCTCTCTCTCTCTCACTCTGTCACTCTATCACTTTCTCTCTGTCACTTTGTCACACTCCTTTTGTGTCATTTTCTCTCTGATTCTCTTTGTCTCTCTGTATCACACACTCTCTCTCACTCCCTCTCTCGCTGTCACTCTCCATGACTCTCTCTCTCTCTCTCTATGTGACTGTCTCACATTCTCGGTCACTCTCTCTCTATCTCTGTCTCCACGCTCTCTCTCGCTCTCTTTCTGTATGTCTCTCTCTATATATATACATATATATATATATGCCACTTTTTCTATATATATATTTATGTTTCTCTAGCAACTCTCTCTCTCTCTGTCTCTCTTTTTCTCTCTATCTATCTATCTATCTATCTATCTATCTATCTATCGATCGATCGATCGATCTAGCTAGCTAGCTAGCTGGCAAGATATCTCTCTTAGTCGCATTCTCAAATCCTCTAGGAATATAAACAAGTACTGCACAAAAGGAACAAGAAATAACGATCACTTAAATACTATAGAAAAGAATTAATAAAGAAATTTCTCTCATTCTCTCTCTCTCTCTCTCTCTCTCTCTCTCTCTCTCTCTCTCTCTGTGACTGTTTCTCTTTCTCGGTTACTCTCTCTCTCTCTCTCTCTCTCTGCCACGTCCTCCCTCATTCTGTCTCTCATATATATATGTTTCTCTCAGTCACTTTCTCTCTCTCTCTCTCTCTATATATATATATATATATATATATATATATATATATATATATATATATATATATATATATATATATATATATATATATATATATATATATATATATATATATATATATATATATTTCTCTCTGTCACTCACTCTATATCGTTCTATATTTTTTTTCTCTCTCTCTCTCTCTCTCTCTCTCTCTCTCTGTGTGTGTGTGTGTGTGTGTGTGTGTGTGTGTGTGTGTGTGTGACTGTCTCTCTCTCTCTCGGTTACTCTCTCTACCACACTCTCCACTCATTTTGTCTCTCGCTATTTATATCTCTCTGCAACTTTCTCTCTCTCCCTCTCTCTCTCTCTTTATTTATATATATATATATGTTTCTCTCTCTACCACTCCCTCTATATCTTTCTATTTTTTTGTTTATCTCTTCTTTCTCTCTCTCTCTCTCTCTATCCCTCTTTCTCTCTCTCTCTCTCTCCCTCTCTCTGTGTGGTGTCTTTCTTTCTCAGTTACTCTCTCTCTCTCTCTCTGCCACGCTCTCCCTCATTCTGTCTCTCGCTATACATATATATATATATATATATATATATATATATATATATATATATATATATATATATATATTTTCTCCCCTCTCTCTCTCTCTCTCTATATATATATATATATGTTTCTCTCTGCCACTCCCTCTATATATTTCTATGTTTCTTTTGTATTTGTTTCTCTCTCTCTGTCTTCCTCTTTCTCCATAATCCAAGCCTTGCTCCATCCATTCATTTTGGTTTATCCTCCTTTTCTTCACCTTATTCAAATACAATGTCCACTTTTTGGTGCGTTTCGGGTTTGGGGGTAAGACAGAGATTGATGAGCTGGTTTGCAAGAGCAACAGTTAATCTGATGAGAGACGCCATTGTACACAGAAAAGAGTTGAATATTCGAATAGGTTGGACACGTCGATTGGTTGGGATTCCTACGATAGGAAAAGGGATGTCGTTTGTGGAAGGAAATGAAGTGAGGTAATGTCAAGCGGAAAGGCGAGACAAATAAAGCGATATTAGAAGAGACCCAAAGAAGAAAAAGAAAGAAGGAAGGTGGGAAGGGTGGAAGGAAGTGGTACCAAGGAACAAACAAATGTCTAAGAAAGAAAGAAAGAAAGAAAGAAAGAAAGAAAGAAAGAAAGAAAGAAAGAAAGAAAGAAAGAAGATATCGGAACAAAATGAAAGGAGAAGAACGGAGTGAAAAGAAAGGAACAGAACGGAAAGAAAGAAAGAAAGGAACAGAACGGAAAGAAAGAAAGAAAGAAAGAAAGAAAGAAAGAAAGAAAGGAACAGAACGGAAAGAAAGAAAGAAAGAAAGGAACAGAACGGAAAGAAAGAAGGAACAGAACAGAAAGAAAGAAAGAAAGAAAGAAAGAAAGAAAGAAAGAAAGAAAGAAAGAAAGAAAGAAAGAAAGAAGATATCGGAAGTGAAAAGAAAGGAACAGAACGGAAAGAAAGAAAGAAAGAAAGAAAGAAAGAAAGAAAGAAGATATCGGAACAAAATGAAAGGAGAAGAACGGAGTGAAAAGAAAGGAACAGAACGGAAAGAAAGAAAGAACCGTCAAAGAAAGCGAGAAGAAAAGAAAAACCAAGTGAGAAAAAAGAAAACAAAGAAAAAACGAGAGAGAAAGAAAAAAAAGAATGTGAGAGAAAACTAAGAAAATAGGAAAGGAAACAAAGAAAGAAAACCGAACGAAAAAGCAAGAAACAACGCCTTGTGAAAAAGAAAGAAAATTGGGAAAAATAGAAAAAAACAAATTGAGAAAGAAAGAAAGAAAAATGAATGAGGAAGAAGAAAGTGAGTAAACCTAAGAGTAAATAAGAAAGAAAAAGAGAATGAAAACTGAATGAAAAAGTAAAACACAAAGCCTTGTTAAAAAAAAGAAAAACTAATTGAGAAAGAAAAAACGAATAAGAAAAGGACAATCAAACAAAATACAAACAAAAAAGAAAGAAAATATAATTTCGAATGCAATTAATAGAATTTTAAAGAAAAAGAAGGAGAGTGAGAAACACTGAGACTATCATTGAGACGTGAAAACGAGGAAAGCAATAGCGAAAAGCGAATATAAAAGATAAATGGGTCGTTTGCGTCTTGCGTAGAGAAATCGATGAAAGCCAAATAAAGCAGAGAAAGATTTTCTTTAAAACATGAAAAAAATTAAATAAATTTAAATCCAATCTCGCCCAGCACATTTTATTCCATTTTCCCTTTAAATGTTTTGCTCAGCCACAGAGCAATCGAGGTCAACAAGCAGATCCAACATTTATTTTTCAACATTTCCAGATTTTAAGAAGATCGACAACTCGGCAAAAAAAGGGAATAAATTAACTTTTTCTTGTTCGCAAAAGGACTTATTTTACACTTATACACACGCGCGCATACGTAGAGAAAACTATTCATACATGAATATACACTTTAAGAACAGGCTAATAGATAGATAGATCATGAACGGTAATAGATAGATAGATAATGAATACGCTATAGCTAGAGAAATAAAGAGATAGATCATGATTGGGCGATAGATAGATAGATTTAAAGTGAAATATATATATATATATATATATATATAATTCCCCTCTCTAAGTTCTCCACTGCCTTAAACGAGTATTGAACTCACAGTCTTTGGGTCCTGTCACTGGATATAACTAACGCCTTTATCCACTGTGCGTTAGTTAGATCCAGTGACAAAACCCAAAGAGCAGGAGTTCAATAATATAAATAGTGTACATAATACGTGGTCTCAGAAATATAGACATAGATAGATAGATAGACAAATAAAGAGATAGATATGAACAAACTGGAATACAGATAGATAGATAGATAGATAGATAGATAGATAGATAGATAGATAGATAGATAGATAGATCATGAATGGACGATAGATAGATAGATAGATAGATAGATAGATAGATAGATTTTTAATAAAACTTGATATTTTTCTTTCCTTCCCATAACATTATTTCCTACCTCTACGTTTTCAATTTTTGTTTACGGTCAATATTTTCGTTCTGACATTAATTTCAATCCGTTAAATTTCCATTTTGAAAGATCATATTTCCATAATTTTAGAGACCAAATATTCTATGATCTCGCATTCTAAAACCGAATATTCTGAGATTAAATTTTCCCACAATACACGGATAAATATTGACTTTACACTTGATAAAATTTCTCAAGATAGTCTACTCGTTATTTCTACAAGTTGCATAGAGAATATACAAATCAGTTGGAATACTCGAATAGTTTTATGCATATTTACATCTGTTATCGGGACCAAAGCTTTAAGCGAAAGATTTAGTTAAAAATTTCATCGAAGTGACATTGAAATAATTCAACGAAATGACTTTTTATTGAAACGAATTACATCCAAACGATTTTTAACTTAACCTGTAATTCTCAGGCTTTTCATCGAACGACTTTTCATCGAATGACTTTTAACTGAGAACGACTTAACAATCTTTCATAAAACATCTTTTCATTGAATGACATTTGACTGAGAACGACTTAAAAATCTCTCATGGAACATCATTTTTATGGAAAATAATTTTAAACGATATTTAAATGAAATGACTGCTCATCAAACTACCTTTCATCGAACAAGTTTTAATTGAAGCGGGTTCTCTTCAAACACACTTTAATCGAACACTTTTATATTGAAATAGCGTTTCACTAAACGACTTCTAATTGAAATTACTTATGTTCGTCTTGCCTGGATTTTGCACGTCCACACGTTGTGAGCGCTCCAGATTTACTTGAAAACTGAGTCATGTAACACAAGGTCGGTTTTTAACGTGGAGACCGGAGTGTTTCCACTCGGGACCCTGGTCTAAGCTGGTCTTAGCTTGTCTAAGCTGGTCAAAACTTGTTTAAGCTAGTCATAGCCGGTCATACCACCGCTACGTAACAGATGTCACGCAACGGTGGGGGTAGAATGCAAGAGAGGAGAGAAGGCCTCCGGCACGGAACAGATACTACATCTCTCTCTCTCTCTCTCTCTCTCTCTGAGAAAAAAACACTGGTGTTATATAGTTCTCCTAATCCCAGAGCCACGCTGAAATAGTTAGCGCCACCTACTCTAAATAGGTCTTCTCTCAACAACCCATTGAGGAAGGGGACACAACTCCTGGTGCTGACAGTACCACATAGAACCATCACAGAGACTTTTGTCGGGCCGACCCGATTCTCTGCTACACTTAAGCAGACATTCGTAAGTTTAAAAAATAAACTTCGTCGATCGAATGTTCACTGAATCGACTTGCCTTTGAAATATCATTTTATCGAAACAACGTTCCGTTAAATTGCATTTCATCGAATAACTTTTCATAAAAATAGTTTTCATCATTTCTTTTTTGTTAAAACGACTTTTCAATTCATTGACACGACTTTGCGTCGAACGAGAGTTCATCGAAAGAGGTCATTGAAAGCGCTTACTTTTAAAACGACATTTCATAAAACAACTTTTCACTGAGAAGAGTTTTTACTCAAAGTACATTTCATTCGAACCACTTTTTATCGAATGATTTTTTAACACAAATCTTTTCATCATATGACTACAATTAAGTAATATTTAATCAAATGACGTTACATTAAAACGACACTTGATTAAACGATGTTTTGTTGAAATGATTTTCCACTGAAATGATTCTCGATCGAATATTTTTCATTGTAACAACTTTTCATGAAGTATATTTCTTCGAACAACTTTTCATTATAAGTCTATTCCTTTAAACGATTCTTTCTTTAATATTTCTTCTTGAGTCCTTCGGCGTTTTTTTAAAGTAGGAATAATAATGTCCAAAAGCACTATTGTTAGAACATTTTAATTTCAGCAGCTTCCTGTAAGTTCCCACTCGAAATAAAGAAACTAATTTAACATCATGACAAATTCACCAAAATGCTCAATTGAAATTCTCTGACTTTTCTATGTAATGGTACATTTATGAATACATGTATATATATATATATATATATATATATATATATATATATATAATATTGCTAAAGAATTAATGGACTTAATCCGACAATATTATTTATTACTTCAATAGCGCTTGAAGTAATATATATATATATATATATATATATATATATATATTACTTCAATAACGCTTAATTTAATATATATGTGTGTGTGTGTGTGTGTGTGTGTGTGTGTGTGTGTGTGTGTGTGTGTGTGTGTGTGTGTGTGTTAGGGTTTTGACTTTTGATTTCCTGTATTCGATTAAACTATTCTGTTCAAAAATAATAAAGGTTTTTATTCAGTTTATTTTTTTCAAATATCACCTCAACACAATATTTAAAAAATCGTATACAATGATAGTAGCACTATGATTTTCAGGAGCTTTCTAGTATATCATGGAAACTTTTAGAACTTCCTGTTGCTTTCTACAATTTTATGTAATCTTCTAGATCTTGTAGGTCAATATGCTAGGAAAGCTGTTCAATGTGTTAAATGCTTTTAAATCTGTTAAATGTGTTAAATGCTATTAAAGCTGTTAAAATACATAAGTCCTATCCAATTGCTTCATTAGCGAATTTGAAACACTATCCAATTGCATCTTTGGCAAATCGGAGTGTTTTCGCGCCATTTTGTTGGGGGTTTCGTTGGATCTTCAGTGAAATAGGTTTCGTTTTTGTTTGCCACCGTCTTTTGTATCTGTTGTTGCTTTTGTTGTCGTCTTTTTAGTCTAGGTTCCGCGTTTTGGTGTTCCTAGTGCCTCGTCTGCTGAAGTGACGTCTTCGGCATTTTCAGGGGATGGGCTCCCACAGGGAGGGCCATAGCGTTGTGAGGATCTCAGGGACAAATTTGAACCATTTGCTGGAGGAAATGAGTTACTGCCGGTAACGCCTTTGTTGGATGCAGTGGACCCTCGTGCTGTTTATTCAGCAGTAGCGGATCCAGTGGCTCGAAGGCTCATTGCAGTGGGTAGAGACCTGCTGGATAGGGTCTCTGAAGAGGCTTCAAGTATCGCTGGGTGTTTTGACAAGGAGGAGTGGTGCAATGTGGGACGTTATGTTGCCTGACGAGGATGCAGCTGAATCGTTGACGAGCTGTATTCTGATTACTGCTGCACACGGGCTACAAACCAAATACTTGGGAACAAGAAAAGCGAAGGTGACTCTACATGGGGACCCCTGTTCATGTCCCGAGGATCGTCTCGGCTTTTTCATTTCACGGTATGGGGACGTCTCTGATGTCTTCTGTATTAAGGTTAGGTTAGGAATAGCCACAGGCGATTTTGAAATCGCAATTACGCTGGACAGAAGGCAGTTCATGGAAATACCGAAAACATTAATGTGTGAAGGAAGACTTATTTATTCTATTGTTAAGGGCTGTCGACAACTTTGTTGGGCTTGTGGGGCCGCGGGACATTCGTCGAAGGCTTGTCCGGGACAAAATCCAGAAGCACAACCCAAAATGAAAAGTGGGGCAAAATCGGTAACAACACAGATAACAGCACAGAAAACAAAAGCAAAAGCTGTAAAGAAAACTAGAGTCGACGGAAGAAGGAATTTAAAATGGCTACCACTTCCCTTCAGCAGCTGCAGAATGAGAAGCACCAACTTGAGAAGGAGGAAAAGCAAAAACTAATGTCCAATGTAGTTATGAGGAAGAAAAAAAGTTTGCAGTGATGACTGACTACGACTATCAGTTTTATGCGCTTGCACACAATCCTCAGGCAGCCAATGGCTGAATAGTAATGTGAGTACCTACATACCACAAGGGAAGTTCAATTTGACAAACAAAACAAACCCGCCCAGTGTGGAGGGTAAATCATCCAGCCAAGATTTAAAATGGCCCAAAAAGAAAGGTTCCACCTGGATATATATATATATATATATATATATATATATATATATATATATATAAAATTTTTGAAAAGTTAACCTGTAGAAAACTTTATAAATATATATATATATATATGTGTGTGTGTGTGTGTGTGTGTGTAATTTATATTTGTGCGGAAACATTTTTCAATCATGTTACGTTGAATATGATAGACAAGATATATATATATATGTGTGTGTGTGTGTGTGTGTGTGTGTGTGTGTGTGTGTGTGTGTGTGTGTGTGTGTGTGTGGTATAATGAGTAATGTATGGTTTTTGAGTAATTTCCCGTCTACTTATCTCTCAGTTGCTTCTCTGTTATTGGACAGCGTGCGATCAGGGGCTTCTCTGTCAAAGGACAGAGGGGTAACTGAGAAAATTATACTGAGACGTCCACAGCCCTGGAGAACAGCTGCCCGAGGTCGCGCCCTCCCATTGCACCAGAGGGAGGGATCGGTGCTCGCACCGAGGCCAGGTCAACCGACAGTTGGGGAAGCCGAGGGCAATTTTTGTTCCTTGCCCGGGTGTTCACGCCCGTGTCCCCACGTTAAAAAAGACCTTGTGTCACATCTCGTCTCAGTGGGGAGACAGAGTAAATACCATGTGTGTGGTGTACAATTCTCAGGAACGGATACTGTTAGTAAACTAATATCATAGTATCCATAGTACCATAGACAATTACTAGTATAATGAACCCATACCGGAGGTGCTTCTTACAATAAGTTTCACTTAGTAAATATCCATAGGGGGTTTTTGCCCCTGAATAGGCTTCCGTAACTCACTCTGAAATGTCCGTTAGTACCGCCATGATTTGGGCACCTCGAGGTGGTGTAATGGTTAGCAATCTTGTCTGGCTAGAACAATTACGACTGAGTAATGAGTTCGATCCTCACTGGGTGCCTCATACTTTCGGCCTTGTGCCACATCTAAGCTACGCTTGGAAAATCGCTAGTACCGCCATGATTTCCATCCCTCACGGAATACGCCATAGTTTCGAATTTGTTGTAGTCTGCAATAGTAAATTTAAAAAAAAAGTTAGCCTTTCTTTTTTTTCTAAAAATGGTTGGGACTGTTTTTTCTCCCAGAGATCTTAGAGGT